AATTCAATGCCGTAATAATGAGTCTCGGCATTTAATTCGATATCGCATGGCCAAAACGATGTCGTTTGGAGTCGAGCAATACCGCGGAGAATTTAAGCGAGACCGCGAAGAGGCTCCACGGTACCGCGGTACTTGAAACGACATTGGTTGCAGACCATGTGTGAGTCATGCGCAGGACATGTGTTGCTGTTGGACAAGGAATGTTTTTTTTTTCTTGTCGGAGGAGGAGAGTAACAGCACCGTTTGGAGTCAAGCAATGCCGCGAAGAGATAAAACGGTGCCGCAAACCTCAAAGCTCGACGGCATCGCGAGACTGGGAAACGGTGTCGTTTGGCTAAAAACGGCACCGCGAATAAACCCAACGACACCGCGGATCAGAAAAGCGGTACCGCTACACAGAAAACGACACCGCCGGAAAATAAAAGGGGCCGCGCGTTTAGTGTAGGTGTCGGGGAAGGAGTTTTTGTTTATAATTAATTAATATTTTTATTCCTTGTTGGAAGGGGAAAATCGGTACCGCATGGAGATAAGCGGTATCGCAGAGAGTTAAAACGGTACCGCGGATTTAAAAACGATGCCGCGAGAGCCTTGATAAGCGGTACCGATTAAATAAAAAAAACCATATTGGGTAAGTGACCAAAATTCGCCTAGCCCCATGCGAGTGCAGACTCGCGGCGGTTCCATGAATTGATATTTTTGGTTATGTTAGCGGTGTCGTTTAATTAAAAACGGTACCGCGTGCAAGCCCAACGGTACCGCTGTACTAGCAAACGACAGTGTTTAATAAAAAAAACAATGTCGCAAAAGGAAAAGCAAACGGAGCTGTTTGGGAAAGGAAACGACATCGCGGGATCATGAAAACAACTCACGTAAAGTTCACGCGAAGCAGTTTGAGGAAGGAAGCGGTTGAGACACGTGGGAGTTCACAATGGAGCGGTTGAGGAAGCAGTTCTACGGGGCGTGAAGACTACGCAAGTGATTTCAGATAAAATCACTGGAGCAAGGAGAGAGAGTGACAACCAAATCAACACAGAACAACTCTGTTCAAACTTTACCTTTTCTCTGTAACTCCTTCGCGGAGCTCTCCTTCCAGGAAGGATCTCCATAGTTGTAGTCTTAGTCGTAGTCGCGGAGCTCTCCACAGGAATCTCCATAGGAGTAGCGGTAGCGTAGATTCCTCAAAACTCAAACACCCTCGTTCGAACGTAGTTTGGAGAGGTGCGAACCGTAGTAACGGTCGTTCTTGGTTAGAAGTCAGAGGTGCATCGATCAAATCAACACCGCCCGGCGGTGGATATTTGACGGTCACGTTGATTTCATCATTTAGAGGTGCATCGATCAAATCAACGGCGCCGACATTCGGCGGCGGATATTTGACGGTCGTCTCGATTTCAGCAATCAGCGGTGCATTCGATCAAACGACACCGTAAGAGTTTCCACCGCGAAGCATCAAATCAACATCGCCGGAAACGCATTCGGCACCGGCGGTGGTATTTGGTTTTCCCGAGGAAACACTAACGTAAATAATAAAGAAAACAAGTTGCATAGCAAATTTACTTGGCCGAAATGACAATGAAGTCTCCCTATAAAAAAATAATCACTAGTTTGAGCCCACACAAATCTTTAATTGCTGAATTGTTTTCCAAACCCAAGGGTGCAAGCACCCCCACCTCCCCCCATAGCTTCTTCATTGACCATATCGACGTTATCAACGAGCAACGATAACAAGATCATCAAAATGCCTCTCAATACGAGAGAGAGATAGTTGGAGATAGATTCTTTACCTTTCTGAGAGTTGGAGAGCTTCTTCTAGAGGGATGCAACTCGAGACTGCGAGCTGCCTACATAAAGATGTTCAAACTTGAGCCACGCATCACGAGAGAGTTGAAGCGACCAGCGTAAATTGGTCCGGGCAAAGCCAATGAGTATCAGTCAAGGACGTGGGCATAGTGGGAGAGGGGGAGGACCCATTGAAAATCCAATGAGACCATAGCCAAAAAGAAGAGAGTGAAATTGAAGGAGATGAGAGAAGAAGACAAACTAGACTCTCCATGAGAGGAAGAGACATGGAGAGAGGGCTCTTAAGTTTCTTATGACATAGCGGCAGAGAAAATAAAATAAAAAAGGGAAGTAGCTTTTAGAAGAGAGAAGGAAATATACATATTTGATTTTAGAGGAAAGGGGATAGTGATTTGTTTTGGAGAATGGAGACCAAGGATTAGATTACATAGGTATGCTTGCATGAATATAGGCATATGATAGGGTGCATAATTATATTTGGGTTCTTTGAGTGGATCTAGAAAAGGCAAATTCAAGTAGGGCTACAAAACGGTGCGGTCTGGTCCAGACCATGGATCAGACCATATATATGTCTATGGTTCAGACCGAGAGGCTGAAATATAGATCATAGACTAGACCAAGACTATACGGTCCGGTCCAGACTACGACTGAGCGGTCTCGTTTAGTCAACCACACAAAAAATTGAACCAATAACCAAGAAAAATAATTGTTATTTGCCTTAAAACATTAATCCTAACATGCATGAATAATTTTGATACCCTAAATCTTAGTACATAACAAAGATACAGAGTAAAAGCATCCCAACTTGCACCATAATGTCATAAACATTAACATAATGTCATATGGAGACACAATTAGCTCTACTCTCTGGTTAAATGTGGTTGTGAATGAAGGAGGGACGGATTCACAAACTAAGGTTGAGACTTGGGTGTCATTGTGGGAGTTGGGAGAGTGGTCGAATGAGATGCTAACACGTATTGACAAGTCGGTTGGGTCCACAGTTTGGTCCGATAAACCGCGGTCTAGACCAGACCAGACCAAGAGATCAAAACATAAAATAATACAGACCATGGACCAGATCATACTTAACGGTCTACGGTCCGGACCAAACTGTGCGGTACGATTTGGACCACGGTTTTTCTAACGGTCTGGTCTATTTTTCCAGCCCTAGATCTAAGAGATAAGAATTAATGATTTTATTTTATTTTTCCTAGTTTTATTAATGGGCTCTTATCTTCTTAGTTTTAATTTGGATTTCAATTTTTTTTTTTTGTCCAGATGAAATGAATTCGTTATGATCTACAAAATGAGATCTATTTCAAGGAAAAAATTTCATACTACTTATTGCGACTTTGGTACCACAGAGTACCCACCTTTGTTTTTAACTTGAATTTTTAAAAGTTTACACAAAAGAAACAAAATTTTCATGATTTATTGGATCGACAAATTTATGAGAAAAAAATACAAGACCAAAATGTACCATCTCATACCACTCTGGTATAGGGGTGATAACTAATATAAAAACAATTATAAATGTGATGAATGACAGTTCATATATTTTTACTATCATGTACCACCTCATACCTGTACCACCTCATACCATCCTGCTATAGCAACGCCTCTTAATAGATTTCCGTTTACCAACAAGGCTGCTCATTTAGTGGCTCAAAAGGTCCTTTCATCAATTATTCGACTATTTGTCGACTGCCGCTTTTGGTTGCTTGCTGTTCTCTATCTATTTGTTACCATTTTTCTATGACAAAAAAAAAAAAAACGAACAACCTGCTCTTGTTTCTGTCCACACAAAAAAAGAATATTTCACAAAGTGCTCTCGCAAGTTCTTCAACTGAGGAGATGTCCTTTCAGATCCATTGTGGCAGTCAGGATCACGTACAAGAAAGTTCCCCAACAGCGGATACCAACCACTTAAATTACGAAATCAGCTCGAACTTTCTTTGCTTCTTCCTTCACCGGTTCTCCTGCAAAATCATAAAAGAGACATGGTTGGATGCTTTTGATGATGAGCCAATACGTCCCCTAACTTGCACCAGGAGGACGACATACTATGATTGGGCAACAGATGTTAAATTTACCACTTGACAAAAGCCTGAACAGTAAACAGGAATAGGCTAATAAAACAATATGAAATCTAGATAGCAGTAAAGGTGCAGTTTAGCAGCTCGTGGGCCTGGAGGAAACTGTTGAAGTTAAGGGGTGTCATTTCTCCCTGGATGTAGAAGCAGAATGGTGTAGTCTTTTGGGACTCGAAGGAAATGATGAACTATTCTGTCCGAAGGGTCTGGGAAACCTTAAGGCACAAAGCTCCCAAGGTACGCTGGTACAGTCTGGTCTGGGGCAGGAATTGCCCACCTCGGTGTAGTCTGATTGTCTGGTTGATAATTAAGAAGGCTATTATTACTAGGGATAAATTGCAGCGATGGGGCAAAGTCAGTGATGCTTCCTGTCAACTATGCAGCTCCTCCATTGAAAGCAGAGACCACTTGTTTGCTCACTGCCCTTATTTGAAGAGTCTTGCTGAAGAACTTAAGTGTACGAAGCTGCTGCGAACAGACTGGGAACAGATGTTGTGTGCGATGACTCAGGTTGGTACCTCGAGAACAAGAGTGTGGCATGGTCTGATCTGGTGTCTGCTGGTGACATACATATGGAAGGAGAGGTGTGGTGTAACTCATGGATCCCAACGTCGTTCTCCTGCTCAGGTGGCGGACTTGATTCGTGACGATTTGCAGTTTATAGCTTACGGAAATAGGGGATACAGAGATATATTAGTAGAGCTAGGATACATGTAGGAAGATTTTCCTTTTTCTAGTTCTGGTAGTAGACTAGTTTGCTTGTTGCTGATTGTAGTAGGTGTTGTCGCTTTGATCGAGATTTATTCTCGCCTCGTTGTATCGATTTACTTGAAATAAAAGCAACGGATTCAACGAAAAAAAAAAGAAAAAAAAAACAATACAAGTCAATCTATCACGCTACTCAACAAACGCAAACGCCAAGCATCCAATCATCCTCTTAATTGTAATTACCTCGCCCGACTATCTTTCCTTATAATCTTTCTACTGGGTGGAAAACTTAATCCAATGCTAAAAAGAGAAAGACGGGGAAAACCCAAATCAAGGCTTAAGAGCTACATGTTCCAACGGCGGAAGCACTTTCAGAGTAAACAGAGTATTGTGCTTCATCTATTGGCCCGGAGCCATCACTTCCGTAACTGCAGTAAGTTGTCCATAACCATTCTGGTCTCGAGAGATGATGAAAATGCAATCAACCTAGACTTTACCTTCAATTCATACCAATTACAAAGTAAACAACCATAGATTAATCCCGCGTCTCGTTCACTAGCATATGCATGTCAGCATGAAAGGGAAGAGGCTACATTGATCACATTTCGGAATGTAGTTAGAACTGACTTTCATGTTTGGATGGGTGAATCTAAGGCTCTAAGCACAGATTATCACCCCCTTTAGTGCTAGCTCCTGCCGATTCCTTTCTTTGTTCTTCAAACTTAAACAAGGCAAAATATGGATATACACTTCTTGTGCACACTAATCCAAGATCCTAGTAAAAAAAAAATCACGCCCAGACCAAATTGAAATTAGCAAGACTGCTTGCTCACAAATTGGCTTTCATCCATAAAGCTCTTTATTCCTAAAATTTCTACACATTTAACTCTTCCTGATGGGCAATGGTAGCGCAATCGGATTTCCGAAAGACAATGACCATCGTAAGAAAAACCCTAGCATTTTGCCGCTGGGCGGGAATGTCATAGAGAGAGGGAAAGAGGGTGTACCAGTTGGTTGAGGCGCGGGCGAGTAGCCGTAAATGGCCTGGAGTCTGGCGAGAGGGATGGAAGAAGATCCAGCAGAGGCTTCAGCGAAGAGCTGCTGCTTCCAGTCCCACATGGATTTCTTCATGGATTTATTGGAACTGACCAGCGACGCTTTTTCTGCCTCCAGAGCATCAAGTTGCCGTTGCTGGTAGCTTGATCGCACACCGAGAGCGACGAAGGATCCGACCAGGAAAACGTTTATGACCGTGTTGTTGTTGGCGGCTTTCATCGCCGCCGATATCACTCTGTTCGCCACCTCCATTTCTCTTGGCTTTGGCAGGGCAGGTGGAGGATGGAAGAGTAACAGAACCAACTAATCGTCTCGAGCTAAGGTTTTCCACAAGAAGACTCCGCTTGGGGGTAAATTACAGACTTTTCATTGTCAAAATTTTATGCTTCCCAGTTCAGTACCCTAACTCCTAGAATTTGTGATTAGGCCCAGAAAATAAATTTGACTTTTGACTTCATCCGATTTTGTCCTAGTCCTACCCATGGGAATTCTGGTCCTCAAAATGTTTTTTACATTTACAAAGAGATTCTCATTTCCACCTCTTGCAACTTTTGATTTTTTTCAAAGACCAAAGTACACTAGTACTTAAAAGATTTCTTACAATAAACTAATTTTATAAAGAAAATGCCAATCTATACATGATTCTCTTTGATCACTATATACTCAAGCGATCTGCATCTTAATTGGTTAGGTCGAAAACGATATGTCTTTGATCGTTGAAGCAGAACGTGATCAATGTAGACTGTTTGTAATTGAAGCTATGCAAGCATTGATCGTCGTAATTAACAACAATGTAAGTTGAACGTGCACCCTTAATCGCTTAGAACAAAAGCAATATGGGATAGATCCCTTTGGTCTAAAACCATCAATATGAAGATCTCCTAGCCTTAAAGTGGCTGCACTTGCAATTTCTCAACCATGAGTTATAAACTCAGGCACTTCTACATAGAACTGGTACTCGGTCGGTAACCGGTTTAAATGTTAACCGGATAATCGGTTAATGGTATTCCGAAATACACCAAGAACCCTTCTATATACTGATACTGGTTGATATCCAGTATACCAATTTACCAACTAGCCGGCTACCGATAAAAAATTTGTTATTGAACAATCAAGGATGAAGAGGGGCAAAATTGTTTCGGAGGGGAGACAGAGAAGGCAATCGTGTCCAACGGCGGAGGTCGGAGTCCTTGCCGTTCGACGTCTTTCTCCTTTTGGAGTGCCGCCATGTCTCTCCTCTCTCCTCTCTACACCTCTCTGACGGCTGTCAATTGAAAATCGAAGATACCCCACCAGAATCGTCCTCGTCACCAGCTACCGGAGGCCCAAAATCATCCCCGCAACCAAAATCTGCCCACAAAGAATACGCGAAGGCGGTTCTAGTTCGTTATGATTCGAATGGGCTGGGATTTGGCGGTGGTCGGTAGGGCTTCGACAGTTAGGGGTGTTCAAATGGTTACCGTGGTAATAACCAAACCAATTAAGTCTAAATTTCATTAATCACGGAATAAAATGTCTTAACCAAACCACCCAAATTAACACGAAAACCAAATTAACCAAACCAAAGTTTTGGTTTGGCTAATCAGATAATCGGATTAACCAAATAAGATAACATTACATGAAAATAATTATCCTGTTAACGAACAAACCATAACCATATGTTATTATTATCATAAACTATCATTATATAAGCAATAATAATATGACTAACCATCCATGATTATCATAATCATTCATCATTTCTACACCTAATATAGTTAGCTTACAACAAACCCATAACATAAATATTAAATACATACAAATACCACTCATCAAGAAGTTAAAGCTCTCCTACAAAACACTTAAACTATACGTAGTTTGAGGTATCTGTCATGGTATTGTATGTAATCCTAAAGTCTAGTAGCTGTCCAAAATGTTTAGGTTTAGTAAATAGGCAGACCCATTTAATTTTTGACCCATAATGCTTTGGTTTGTTGTGCACATGGAAATAAAATAGAGAATCACAAAAGTTTGGTTTGGTTGGTTGCATAGAAGTATAAATAATTTTGTATATTAGATGTATCATTAATTGGTTTCAATGGTTGGCAGTGTTGAAACCAAACCAAACCACCTAAACCAAATAAGCTAAATTGTTTAACCAAACCAAACCAATTATCCAAATTAACCAAACCAAATTAACCGAATACTACTGGTTAATATAGTTACCACGATAACCAATCCGTTTGAACACCCTATCGACAGCAACGAAGACACACCTCTTTGCGACATGCAAGTTGTTGGAGGAGACGGTGAGAGTAGCGATATGCTGTTGCTGGCCAATGATGAAGCTAATTGTTTCGTGGTTGTGGGTGATTAGGTGTAGATCTATGGGAGAGATGAGAGAGGAGAGGAAAAACGGTGAGAAAAGAAGAGAGAAGAAACTAGGAATGGAGGTAACGTGGATGGTGGTTGTGGATTGGGAGAGGCCAGACATGGATTGGGGAAGAAGAGTTGCTTAGTTGGGGAAGAAGAGTTACATAGGGAGAGAGGGTTCACTCGCAGGTGAAAGGAGAGTGGGGAGGGCTTTCCATTTGCTGTGATTTAAGGGTGAGCGACGGTAATCTAGTATACCAGTTAATTGCCGGTTAATAACCGGCTACACTTTGGTATACCGAGTACTATTTTTTTTTGCTATTGCATACCGGCATCGCCTGTTACTCGTTCGATATTCGGTTAAATCGTTATCTGGCTAATTGATTACCAATCCTACTTCTACTTTACCACTCCAATTAGGCCAACTATAACCTAATTTTGCGCAATAGTATAGTGGGCGACTAAAGTCGTATTCCAGGAGCCTTAGTGGCCTAGCATACTCGAGAGCTCTATTATTATCTATTCGATTCTTTAGGAGTTTTTGTTTGAAACTAAACTAATTAAACATATTAAACTAAATGAGATGCACAAAGAGAAAGATGATACTTAGGGTTCAGCTCCATCACCCTAGCATACGAGTAATGACATGCAATGGATAACATAAATTTCTACGACAGTGGAGGCATGAGAGTGAATCAATGATAATTCCTACCCTCTTTAAATGAGTTTAACCCGTAAGCACACATCTCAAGTGAATCAATGATCATGTAGACACCAAAGAAGCATCTATTAGTTAAGTCCCTACTCAACCTCAGGAGATGTTCACCTCAACCTAGGTCAAGCCCTAAAATCATCATCACATGACATACAACATGCAAACAATATTCATATGCACACAAATCATGTAATAAAGCATTAGAATGCTAATTGAACTCAAATACCCCATACATTAAAGCATGCCATTCATTACACATAAAATACCTAGTTAGGTTTTGGGGGTTTGGCCCCAAATACCTTACATTACTATCCCGCGAAGGGGGAAGAAAAACACATAAAAAGGGAAGGAAAATCATAAAAAGAAGTGCCCTTGTTGGAATCCTTCTTCTCCAAACTCTTCTCTTCTTCAAGGGAAACCCCTAAATTATCTCTAATCTCTCCAAAACCTGTCTTAAATCAAGCCCTCTTAAACCCTTTGGGGTATCCTTCTATTTATTGAGATTAGAAATTCGGAGACGTTCACAACCATTTTCGAGAAAAGTTCACGGTCTTGAACTAGAAATTTGTCACACGATCTCGATGTGGCGTCGCTTTACCCTATTCGCGAAGGGGGTTCACAAGGTGGAGATCTCGGTCGTGATCTGGAAGTCGCGACCATGATCTTTGACCCTTTGTCATGTATCGGGGCTAAAGGCCTACGAGTCATAACACGAGACCTTTTGTTCTTCCTCGTGGTAGCCTCTTGAAATTCACAACCGAGTGACTAAAGATCCCGACCTGATCTTCTGCGATGTTATGCAATCTTGAGTTCGTGGCCGGATATCCCTAGCCATGAAATTTGCTCTATTATGCGCACAATCTTTGTTTGCCCCAATTTCCCGACACTTGAGACTTGATCTTCACCATATACGATAAACACACACATCTTCACTTAACGTCAACCATGCATATGCTAGGAAGCAATTATCGGCTATAATACAAATTTACACATTTTGATTCACAAATGGACATGACAACACCAAGATATATGGAGGTAAAGAACACCTATTTGAGTGTTACCAATCCACCCATACTTAAACGTTTGATTGTCCCCAAGCAAACATGTGATTAAAATGTGCAACTCGAAGTCCTTACACCTCTCCCCTAAATGTGTTTCAAACCAAGATTCTTGATTGTTGGTAAGAAGGACGAATGCTCTAATTGTTTTATTTTACACCTTCCACATAACCTTTTATTATGTTCTTGAGATTTCTTTGGGTTTGTTGAAACGAAGATGTTTTGTGTTTCTGACTGGGCAAGTAGGAGTCCTATGCATTTTTTCTTTCTCTCCTCTACTTAGACTTCTGCCACTACATGAAGATGACAAACCTTTGAATGGATTCGAACAAAATCTAAGCAGGATCTCCATGTACATCACCCTCTAATTTTCATGCAATTGATTGGGAGTGTTCATATTTTATGAGCTAGTACTGAAAATTTTCATTGAAAAAGTGTGATCGGTGCCTCACACCTAACCCTTTGAAAAGCAACGCCACTTCATTCAAAATTTGGTTGTGGAAACGAATAGAACCACCCGTCAAGCAACCACCTATAACTAAAATTCAAGCTTCACGTTCAAACAAACCACACACATTCACTAGTAAAACTTTCAAAGTAAGATACGCCAAGAAATCAAACAAAAACACTTCATTTCGAAACATCTCACGCATTTTGCTCCTTAACATTGATAGACAAGGAGAAGCTAGATTTAATAATTCAAAGCATGAAATCACATAGTATGGCATTGGGGCTTACTTGGAACCCCTAAAATTTTGAATTTCTTTTGGAGTAATATCTTAGGTTTCTAGCGAGTTACTATCACACCAATCAACCACCATTCACACAACCATTCAATCAATTGCATTCTCAAACATAATCATAAACACATGCATTCATCATCATAGAGAATCAATCAATCGAATAAAAACATCATTCATGAACGTTTAAAAACATGCAGGGTATATCCTCCCCACAATTAAGAGACACATGGTCCTCAATGTGGGAGATCAAGGTAGAAGGATGTGGGTTATCGAAACAAAAAATATAAAAGAACTAGTCTACCACACACAATGAATCATTTACACATACTAAATATTTTAGTCTAAGTACTTAAAAGGAAAATTAAGAACATTGTTAAAGTTAAGTAAAATAGAAAGAAAGATAAGAAAATGATAGGAAGTGGCCCTGTAATGCCAAGTGGAACTACTCATTACCGAAAGAAACATCTGGTTCATTAAAGTTCATAGGGATCTGGGGAAGGTGTCACAACATAGGGAGGATCGATCAAGGACATGCCCATTCCAAGTTGCTTCATAGTAGCATGATGGTGAGCATTGGAATGTCTCTGTGCCTCGGCTAGGGGTGTAAGCTTGACCCTAGAGACTCGTCGGCCCACCCCGCCCTCCTCGACCCTGAGGGTCGGACATGGTCAGTTTAGCGTTGGGTAGGTCAGGTCAACTTACAGGCGGGTTACTTTTTGACTTGTGACTCATGGCAACAATTAGTGATATGAAATTCCTTATACCAACACAATGGAACTGTATGTAAAGTCTTAAAAGTTTTGGTACTATAATGCAAGTTAAAAATAAAGGTACTAAGATATAATTTTACCACCAAAATTTATAGACATGTTTGTAAAAATAAAGTTCAATTGCTAAATTTTAAGAAAATTAAATTTCAGCATCGAAATGTAATTTTAAAAAAATCAATCTAGACGTGCCTATCAAGTTGTTGTTTCAAATCGCATGGATCGATGCGTCAATTGCTCGATCAAATACATCACATCCCTAGATTTTATTGATGTACGATTTAGGATAATAAATATCGACCGCCATCTAGCATTAAATATAAATGGAGTTAATATTTTTTCATTTGTAACCAAGGAAAATATAAATGATTCTCAAATATTAGGAAATTCTTTATGGTGAAGAAGTTGGGGCTTAGCTGCAAATAGGGTGAACAAAAATAAGTGAAACCCGACCCATCTAACTCACCCCAACCGTATTTATTGCTAAAAACTTAGGTTTAATGTTAAGTGATGATTTTCTTTTGTGGAAAATACCTCATTTGGGTGGTGTGGGTTTTGGGTTATGCAACCTGTCGATACCCGACCCAACCCATGTTATAATTGTTGTTCTATGTGTATGTATCTGAAACGTATATAAGTCGTATACAAGCATATTGTGAGAAAATTTTGATATTTTGTCATATTTAATCTCATTGTTTCACTAACCTAATGCATTTTTCAATTAAAAGATTTAGACGTATATTTAACATAGGTTTTGGTTCACATTGGTTTTTATACAATTTTAGTAGAATAACATAGTATGGATGCGTTAGCTTATAATTAATAAAGTCTTTAATTTATTTCGATAAATATTTATGGAAAATACTATACATAGGTCGAAGCAAATTGTAATCAAGATCCAAGCAACAATTTCTATGCAATTCGATGTTTTTGATTTGGTTTATTTGCTTGGAATTTCATTATTTATATACTTTTTATGTTGGATTTTTGCTTAAAAATATTGTAACGGGAGAGATCCATGATTCATAAGTAAAAAACCAACCTTAACTGACAAGACGGGTTTTGGGGTAAAATGGAGGAGTTCTTGTGAGAACTTCGAAATTAAATGTGCTCAGTGTGGACTACAACAATGATGAGTGACCTTATGAGAAGTCATTGAATTCCACCCCAAGTCGAAAACTGAGAGGGTCGGGGCCCAAAGCGGACAATATCTTCGTCGAGAAAAAGTTACAGATGTTACAAATATAACACACATGGGTCGTCCAATCATAAACAAACGATAGAGTTCTATTTTTTTTGGTGGATTTGGAATTAGTACTTTCAAAGTCGTAATGTATGGGTTAGGTGATTAAAACGACTAAATCAGTACCACCCAATCCATAAGCACCCCTACCCTCAGTCACATACTCACATTGCATACTCATAATTTCTTGAGTGATGAAAGAGAGGAAGAAAGTGTTGTGGGATGTGAACGAATAAGATTGTGAGGGTTTTATAGTTGCGGCTGGGAGGAGCACCGATCGTTGAGTTCTCTAGCGATACACATGAATCGTTTCAGGTCAAATTGATCAACTCTTTCCCACATGCCACCTCAACTATCAGTCTCGCATTTTTAGGCAAATCACCTTCCTCCGTAGTGATGAATGCGGATTGCTGAGTCGTTAACCAATCAGTTGTTACCTCGCTTGCCAACTCAACGATCTGTGAGCGTCGCTTTTCTATATAGCGATCAAAGACAGATAGCTTTAGAACTTAGTGATCAAAGTGCAGATCGCTTGAGTCTGCAACGATCAAACAGAAACATGTGTAAGTTGTGAATTTCTTATAAATATTGTGTATATTGGAATTTTTTAAGTGCTAGAGTACTTTGGGGGGGGGGGGGGGAAAGCCCTTGTACCTTAGGACATACTACTAGATTTCTTGATGATTGCCAAATTACTCCTTAGAGTCTAGACGTTCTAAGTGTACCTGGACGTTGGGCTATGTTTGGGCTAGCACAACACATGCACGCTTCAGGCTAGTTTATCTTGTGTCGTGCTTGGCATGACTCATAAATTTTTATGTCGTGCCGTGCCAACCCATTTTCCAAATGTGCTAGGCCCGACCCTGGATCGGGTGTCATGCTCATATTCGTACTTAATGAAAAAGAGGAAAATAAAAGAGAATAAAAAAGAATGAGAAAATTGGATGGAGAATGAAACTATTAATTAAAAATGTTTTGAGAAAAGTAACATATAAGAGAGTATATGAATATTAGAAGCATAACGGGTGTGATTTGGCTTTTTTGTTCGACCATTTTTACTTATGGTAGTAATTACATATATATCTTTATGATCACTTCTAATAACAACAAATAATTATTTTTGTAGTTGTATTTTGTAATATTTGAACTTATAATTCTTTTTATATTTTCTATAAAAAAGTGTTTTTCGTGCCATGTCGTGATTATACTCAATAACGTCTCAAAAACATTAAATCTGCAACAATCCACTTATAAACCGTGTCATGCCCATACTCGTACTCGTAAAGTTTAGGTCGGTACGACCCGTAAATATTTATACTTTTAATGCCCGAACTCGTATCATGCTCTAATCGTGCCGTGTGCTAACCCGGCCCAACCCTGCCCTATGCCCAGATAGAGTTCTAAGCTTTGAAATCCGAAGAGAAATATGCCTTCATATTTCAAAACTTGTCTCTTGTGCCTTTCGCTTCCGTTTACCGTTTTATAGAAATTGATGTACGATTCAAATAACTCATCTGTAATGGGCTCAAGTTCTTCCTCTTCTCCTTTCGTAGCCCCCTTGCAATCCAAAGGCAAATTGTTCGACCAACACTGTCACCACTGCAACGAAGTACCCACTTAAATTAAACAACAAAGAAAATTAGCAGGAGATGAAATTATACATTAAGGTAAAACTGTAAAAGAAAAACATATTTATAGTAATATAATCATCTGAATGGTCATTCATAGATTCGCAAATCTCGATCGTTTTAATACATGTATTCTACCAGGAGCTAGCCCTCATTCTTTTACACAGGTAATCTAGCTCTTATTATTTTTCATGGCCACAGCTACCAGGAAAGCTTCTACATGTAATCTACACTAAACCACCTTCTGTCCTTGTCAACAGGAACAAAAAATACAAAGAAAACAGAGCAGCATTTGATGAACTATCCCTCCACCCTCTTCAAGTTCAAATCATTCGGACTTGTCGTTGGCTGCAATATCTTTGAGCATCTCTTTCAGTTCACCATTCTGGACACCATAAACAAACAAAATCAAAGAACCAAAGAATCAGGCCAAGTGTAAAAAGAAAACAAGTCCAACCTAAGATGGCATTTGCCACACTAACTAAAAGCAAGGGAAGGAACCTAAAATTAGAGGGAGGTACCTGATGCAGATTGAGAACTATATCAGACCCGCCAATGAACTCCCCTTTAATGAAAACCTGCGGAAATGTTGGCCAGTTGCTGCCAAGAAACCAGTGTGATTATCATACACCTATTTACCTCAGAGTGCCACTGATGAAAAAGCTTGGTCAAGCATCATCAAAGAGAGGGGGCTCTTGCACTATATATTAAGTAAAAATCAAGATTTAATTTTTCCGAGGACAAGTAACTCAGAGATCTTTTAGCACTTGATGGTGCAATCTTGATTTGAAAGATTTCCTTTCCTTTTCACCTGAATGATTTCACAGCGTCTTTGAGCTCCGGATTCTCGATAATGTTTCTAGCACTTAGTGGAACCTCTGCGCAGCAAATAAAAAGTAAATACAGGTATGGTGAAATTCCACAAGCCACAGAAGATCATTACCACGTAGCCATTCAAATTCATTCCCACCCAAAATTCTTATACAACTTATAATTGAACTGTAGCCGAGTAGGTGGTCAACCGAAGTTGTGTAAGGAAAAATTCCCAAGTTGGTGGAAAGGAAAAAGGAGCCTATGCTAATAAATTAGTCTTAGGCGAATCATGGGTTTAATGTGATCCAAATTTTTTGACAAGTTACTTACCATACTGTCTCAGTACTCTTATGGCCAATGCACTAAATCCACACTGAGGATAGTCAGGCACACCTTTCATGTATAGCATCACAGGATTGTCTCTCACATCCTGCATGGATAGTCAATAACAAGACATTGACAAATTCCACAATTAGCGATCAAATAGTAATGGAATGACTATCTCCACAGGTCACAATAGTTTGTCTGCCAGAATTATTAACTCAGAATACCTGCTCAACAATATCTTTCAAAGAAGCTTTAGCATTCCCGGTCTTATTACTTGGATGGAAGTCTTCATGAGTGTCAGGATCACTAGGGACTGTAGACGAGTATCTTCCAGTAGGGTGAACCCATCCAGTCGCCTACACAAAATTTCAACGCGAAAAGATGAATAAAACCATTTTGGAAAACACACACACACATGCACACACACACACACCCCTACACCTACAAAGGTTAGGTGCTCAAATGATTTTATCCCAACTCTGCTAAAACTCAAAAGCCTATGTAAGATTCAAGAGCATTCAAAAATTCTGCTCAATCTGACTTCTTCATTTTTGCTGGTACTGATGTAGTGACATTATTACACATACTAAAAAGGTCATGTCACATGATGATTCATATTAACCATAGTGGTTATATATAAGCATTATGCAATTCAAACTTCTGCAATCAATACAAAGCCTATCCGTATCTCACATCTTATACGGAACTGAAATACATGAAACCATATACTACAAATACCAAACATGCATAACCTAACCCAACACCTATTGGAATGCTAAACAATATAAGTGAGCTAAACAATATAAGTGAGCTTCAACAATAAAAACAAACAACTGAGGAAAAGAACAAAGTGTTTAAGCAGACATATAAAACACACTACATTTATCTTTTGGATTCCCATCAAATTCAAATATATGCACAAGCCAAAACAGTTTTACATTCAGCATGTCTACCAAGTTGCTTCTTTGTTTGTGATGCTCTCTCATCTAAACTTAACCACAAACCTGGTAACTAACATGGAGTAGAAGAATTGCAAGCGAAACCAGAGTTGAAAACAATCAAGCACTGCTTTCAATGCCAAACTGCATGTTAACTTCCTGGCCCAAGCAAACACGCAACCATACCGTTCAAACCAAAATCAAGAATAGGATTTTAGCTCTTACAAATCTACTAGACCGCGATGCCGATGGATTAGTCAACCCCTTCAAGAGCATACTTGATAGCAATTTCGCCATTGTTGTCTGTAGCAATCAAGTAAACCGGGTTACTTATCTAAGAAACTCAAATCCAAAAGAAGCCTAAAGAGAGGGGGCACAATGACAACATTGAACATGCGAATGTAGATACTCTCATAAGATTCAGGTGATCCAGTTTCTCAATGCACTGGAAAAGCTGTATGACCCCATAAATAGAATTATCTGATCATAGACTTCTAGCACCAAAACCGCAGGCTTGCCCTTATACTTCTAAAACTACAACAGGGCCTTTTGAAGGACAGAAGGATTCACCAAACGTGAGGGGATTACTAAAGAAAGGAACAATAAGACGTTTTGCAGGATGCAGAGGAAGCTTGCATTCCGCAGAAAACTTCACATTATGAGAATGGTCATTCATTCTCAGCGGTTCACCCTTCCCTTCACGTTCGACAAAAATATAATTGATTGAAGTTCCTAACTGGGTATGTATATCTTTTTGGTGGGGAGGTGAAAGAAGAGCTAATTTGTAAATTCCAATTTTCGCCAAGTAAATTGGGTGAGGATCACGGGTAGGGATGGCAATGGGGCGGGTTTGGGGCGGGTTTGCCTAAACCATCCCCATCCCCATCTTCAAATACCCAAACCCATACCCGCCCCATACCCATGCGGGGGAATGTTTTGCAAACCCATCCCCATACCCGTGGGTTTCGGGTACCCATGGGTAATACCCATCCCCGTACATCCAACATTATTATACCTAAAACTTACAAGAAAAGTTTTAATTATAACCATAAACAAACCTATTATATCACGAAGTCAACAAAACACGGTCATTTTCTAAATACGATTCAAAGAATATGATCCTAAAACATCCATTAATACATAATATAGACTATAATATTTTTTAAATTATTATGCTCTAACTCTTGATACATTTACTAAGTAATAATTAACTAACATAATTTTGTTGACAAGGGGGAAAGTGAAAGAGTGGAAGGAGAATTGAGGGAAATGAATTAGGTTTTGATTAAGGTGGTTACTCAATTGCATTTCTACTTATTATTTTCTCGAGTTATCATCATCATCATTGATAAATTACAATTTAATCCACGTATTTTTTTATATGTGAAGAAATTCTCTTGGTGGGGCGGGTATGGGTATGGATATGGGGCGGGGGAGACTAAAACCATACCCGCCCCATACCCATCAAACCTTTTGCGGGTTTTACCCATACCCGCCCCATACCCGGTCAAAGCGGGGATTCCCCGCGTTGACTGGGTATGGGGCGGTCGGTACCCACGACCATGGGTTTGATTGCCATCCCTAATCACGGGTAACTACGTTAAACGAGCAGAAACTTACACAAATCCATTGGAAGGAATACAAATTACAGATGCAAAGACTTACTGCTGAAAGGAGAAGAAGGCGGCGGGAGTCAGGGGACGAGACGGAGCGGAAGTAAAAGACGATTTCGGTGACAGGTCTGACGGAAGCAGAACAGTGGAGAGGCAAGAGCAAGATGGGAAAGTGGCGGGCACTGGGTAGCCTTATTCTACTGTGGTCTCAACTCTCATGTTGGTTAGGTTCTGGCGTTCTGCCCATGGATTACGAAACCGTACCGGACATCAAACCGGAATCGTTTTTGGCATGGTAAATCGTGGTACAACCATGGTTCAACCGTATCCTACTGGCAAATACCGTTTTTGGAATAAAAAAATTAATTTTTTGTTAAAAAACCGTACCGACAAAATTAATGTACCATACCGTGAAAATACCGGAATAAAACCGGATTATACCGCCTAAGAAACTGTAGAAAAGTAAATAAGCTTAGGTAACATTCAACAAAGTGCGAGATTTCAATACCTAATAAACCTCATAATCATCCAAATACATTTTTAGAAACTAGTACAAAAACCATAAGGTTAATGTTCACAAACCACAAGCTTAATGTTCCACAAACCACAAGTTTAAACATAATGTTAGTAAACACCCACAAATTTGTTTCGAGGTTAGCAGCTGATCCAAAGAACTTCATCTGTCGATTTTGGTGCTTTGTCATGAAAATTTTTCTACTTTGGCAGGGAGAATAAGCGTTAATTTCATTCAGAAACTTAAATGAACCATGAAAGCTAGTTATAAAGATAAGAAATTACATCAAAAGCTAAAAGCAATACTGTGTGGTTGCTGGTCAGTGAATACATGGAGGAGAAATTCTGGGTTAACACCCATGAATCAACCTATTTCAATGTTTTCGTTTCATTTTGTACAAAGTAGAATGGAAGTAGTGACAAAGGGAGATGGAGAAAACAAACACTACCTCTAATCGCGGCCGGCAAAGACGAACGAAGCACCTTTGTCTCCGACGCGGTTGGGAACGACCAACGAAGCTCCTCTTTCTCGGTTTCTCCTCCGGCGCGGCGCAGCTGTGAACGACGATGTCTTCGATTGCTGGGGAGGACGAGTCGTTAGTGGTGTTTGGTTGCTGGGGAGGACGCTGTCGCCGGTGGGTGGTGTTTGCTGAGCGGCGTGGCGTGGGGGAGCAGAGCGGCTGAATCGCTATTCGTCGCCCTAAAATTTAAATTTTATCGCCCTAACTGTACCAAATGTACGCATTTACCCCTGATTTTTAAACAAATCTCCACTCCACAACAGACCTCCGCCGCCGGCCACTTACCTCCCAGTAAATTTTCAAGTTCATTTATTTTCTCTCGAATCCCCAATCCAAAGCAAACCTCCGCCGCCGGCCGCTTCCGCTTAATTCCCTGTCAATTTCCAAGTCCATTTAGGATGCGTTTGGATAAGTGGATTTTAAATGTAAGGTATTTGAAATATTAGAATTTGAAATGGATGTATTCGAAATATTAGCATTTGAAATACATGTAATTCAAATTCATTGTTTGGATACTCATTTCTAATTTGTTTGTATTTTGTATTTTATGATTTTCAATTTCAATTTTTAATTTTCTGGTCACTTACTACAAATTTTGGTAATTTACAGTTTGGTACCCAAAATTATTTTTTCTTACAATTTAGTACCTAAACTTTTAAATATTTACAAAAAGGTCCTGAAATTTTGATGGTAAAATTACATTTTGGTACCTTTATATGTTTTGCCTCACACTATAGTACCTTAACTTTTCATATTTTACAAATAGGTCCATTCTTTTGTTAGGAGGTATTTCAAATCACTAGTTGTTGAAATGTATTTGAAGTTGACAAAAAATACACTAGACATGTATTTGGAAATCAACCCATGAATTTGACACAAATCCAAATACCAAATGTAATTAATATCCAAACACATGATTTGGTATTTGAAAATCCAAATCACAAATACCAAATCCAAATCATTGTATCCAAACGCACTCTTATTCTTCTCCGAGATCCATTCCCCTTTTCCCGTCTCCGATAAATCACTTTCAACAAATATAATAAAATTAGAAAGAAAAAGAAAGGGAAAGAACGAAGCGGAAGGCGAAGAAGACCCATATCCCGATCCCGCCGATCGTCACTGTCGCGAAAAGAATCTTCCCAATCCTCTTTTTTCTAGGCTAAGGATACGGACGAATTGAATTCCCGTCGAATCATGCTAGAGGCGGGTTGAGTTGCCGTGCGACAGATGGAAGGAACGGGTATTCTACCCATCTAGACTGCTCGCCTAACGGGTTGGAAACCTGTCGCCGACGATGGCGAGATAGGTCGTTGACCCGTTCCCAGCTCGTCGGAGACGGGGTTTCAACCCGTCAAAGTGAACCCAGAACCCGACGCATCAGCTCTCTTCTTCCTCTTCCGACAGCTGGATGATGGCGATTCTTTCTTCTTCCTCAAGATCAACAGAAGCCGACAAAAGCAGAGCAGCAAAGGTAGGAGGCGGAAGCCAGATTGAGGTGGGCTGCCGACCGGGCCTCTTTTCCCAGTGTAGGGATTCATTGATGGTGATCGGCGGTTGGAATGGAGAGGGAGGAGGGGAATGGATCAAAAATTAATGAAGGGTAAGCGTGTAATTTTAATATGATTTAGGGCGACAAATTCAAATATCTAGGGCGACGAATAGCAACTCCCCAGAGCGGCGCTGGGAGAGGGAGGGAGACGAGAGGCAGAGAGAAGAGCGCTAGCAAGAGGGCCAGCCGAAGGAAGGGGTAGGGTTTTCGCGTCTCTAATTCCCTTTCGTTTTTTTTTTGCATCAAAACGGCGCCGTTTGCGTAAAATGAAGGGGCCGCCGGGTTTATTAAAACCGGCCGAAATTTCGGCCCATTGCGGTCCAACCGCAAAAACCGCCCGGCAGGATTTTGAAGGGGTACACAGCCCTATTATGCCGTTTTACCTCCGGTTTCCGGTTTTCCCGGTCCGACCGGCCGGTCCGGTACGGTATCCTGGTCCTTGGTTCTACCCTCCGCGGGTGAGGTTAGCTAGGTAGTTATCCAAAATGATCACATATCTTTGGTTTCTGTCAGTGTTATTAAGACCGGATCGAGCCGGTCGGTCGGACCGCTAAAGTCGCCGCCCGATAGCAAAATCTACTCGGGCGAGTCATTTAGCCATTACGGTTTATGGAGCGGCCGAGGCGATAAACCATTCGAGCTGCTCGAACCGGTCGCTCGGTTTTCCCCTTCTAGCCGTTCTGTTTAATAAAAAAATTGAAAACGAAAGGCAAAATCGTGGGGCTAGGAAAGAAACCCTAACTCTAATTCAGTTTTCGTCTTCAACTCTTCGTGAACATAGGGAGATGAGCAGCGGTAGATCCTGCCGCCGCCAACACTTCCCGTCCTGGCTTCCTGTCGGCATCATCGCCATCCCCAGTCAGCGTAGCAACTCCTAGTTCGCCATCACCAGTATCCGTCCTCGTCCCCTCTTCCAGTAGCAACTCCTCCGCTCTGTCGTCTCTTCCCGTCCCGGCGCTTCCCGTCACTATCCCCAATCCTTGTTAAGATTTAAGAGTGTAATTTACTAATTTAATCATGGTTTACCATGATTAAGAAGTGTCCACTATTTATACTGATTGTTTATTAGGTACCGGTTTTCTAACGGTTTTTAAACGGTTTAGTATCGGTTGGACCGCTAAAGGCCGAGCCGCACACATGATAGGGTCATACTCCGGTTCGCTTTTGACAACATTGGTTTCTGTACATACGGTTACATAGTTTATATGTTTTCCAAAATGGTCACATGACTTTGAAATTTTGTATGGTCACTTTCTTTGGTCTTCATCCAAAATTTTGTCCAATTCAACGTCATTATTTCTTGTCATACAATGCATTCAATCACCTCGAGAGGAGTCAAGGGAAGACGTAGCAACCTGGGGGCCAGAGACAGATGGTCGGTTCCAGGTCAGATCAGTTTGCGACATAGCGAAGGGAGGGACAAATTAGCTAGGGTCTTCGACTGGTGGACTCTATGGCGGTCGCAAGGTCCATCCCTAGTCAGTTATTTCCTCTGGCTCATTGTCCGAGACAGGCTCCTCACCAATCAGGAGAGATCACAATGTCACTTGGCGAGCTCCCCACAATGACCCCAATGCAGAGATCAAGCAAAGTCAGTCTTGCATGTGTTGTCGGACTGCTCCTTTTCCGCGTTAACTTGGTTGCAGCTTTCGCAGTTTTCAAAGCAAAAAGGCCTTTTCCATAGACCTATTCAAGAATGGATACCGAAGCACATTTACGGAGAGCATACTTTACTCAACTTTGGCATAATTTGTTGGTCCATTTGGCGGACCAGAAATTATCGCGGCTTTACAGGCAAGTTCGTAACCACTCAAACTTTTCTACAATGCGTCCTAGCATGGATTAATGTCGTGCAGATTTCCATGGACAAAGACATGCTTGTTCATACCCCTCGATTTCCCATCAGAACGGAGGTTGAGTCTCTTGGATGACGCCACCACCTGAGTGGGTTACTCTCAGTTCAGACAACTCCCTTATTTCAGATTCAGGCCATGCAGCGGCGGGTGCCCTGATTCAAGATCATCTTAGATGCTGCATCGCAACATTTGCTATTAACTTGGGGATTTGTTATATCACCCAAGCAAAATTGAGAGACATTGTAGAAGGTCTTCAGTTGGCCTGCGACATGGGTTATTGTCGGGTCCGTCTGGAACTTGACTCGAGATGTGCGGTCCTGCTCCTCAGAGTAACAACATGATTGATCATCACCACATCGCCATCACTGGCCGGTTCCAGGAGTAATCACCAAAAATTGGGAGGTCTCTATCTCTCACATTTATCGGGAAGGCAATAAGTGTGTTGACTTCCTAGCTAGTCGGGTCCATTCATTTTGTATGACTAGGCCTTTCCGAACCTCGTCTTGTTGTGATTGAAAGTTGAGATGCTTTGTATCCATTTACCCAAAATAAATTCTTATCATCCAAAAATATAATAGTACCACTGGTCCTTTCTATACATTGTTAAACAGACAACAACACAGTCTTGTTGCAATCATATTGGGGAGTAGATAGTATGACAACAGGGGTGGGCGTTCGGTCCGGTTTTAACTCTCCGAACCGAACCAAACCGACCCCGAACCGACCGAAACCGAATTTCCTTCATTTCGGATCGGAATTCGGATGCAAAATCCTTCTACTTCGGAATACATGGTGGTACCGCC